GTCTTTAGTAAGAGTTGGCTCATAACCTTTCTTGCTTCTCAAAGTGTTTGAGTATCCATACTTGGTGTGTGGTAATTCTGACAATTGCCACTCTTGAAGAATTAACACCCCGGCTCTGGCCTGAGGGATTTTTAGTTCTTGTGTATTTGCAACCTATTCGAAAGCCTAACATGTTTTTCTTTGTTAAAGTATGCTTTGACCAATCCCTTTCTCTTGCATAGTTCACCTTCGATCAGTGCTCTTTAAAGGTCATGCTTAGTCGGTTCCCTGTTTTGGTTTATCCATGTTACTCGGGTCCTCCTTTCGTTAGCCTAGCTAAATTTTTATGATTAAGAGTCTTTCAATGTCTCTTCAAAGTCCAGTTGTCTGGCGCCCTTGTTTAGGCGAATGCGTCCTTTTTTATTGGGGCTTTCTTCGGTTAGTCTCGTTCCTGTGTTCGCTAGCAATTCTAAACATTTGTTTCTTGATGATCAACTTCGCTCTTGTGTATCTAACTCTGACCAGATATGCATACCTTTATCATTTGTTGAGAGTCCCCTTCGGCTGGTCTCTTTGCAGTTGTAAGTTCGCCTTCGACCGGCGTTCTTTTCTTAGGAATCTACCTCCGACATAGTATTCCTGGATAAAGATTCCCCTTCGGCTGGTTTCTTCGCCCTTAAAGTCCACCTTCGGCTGGCATCCTTAAAATCCACCTTCGGCTGGTATCATTTGTTGAGAGTCCCCTTCGGATGGTCTCTTTGCAGTTGTAAGTTCGCCTTCGACCGACGTTCTTTTCTTAGGAATCTACCTTCGGCATAGTATTCCTCGATGAAGATTCCCCTTCGGCTGGTTTCTTTATCCTAAAGTCCACCTTCGGCTGGCATCCCCTAAAACCCCGCTTCGGCTGGTACCCTTCTTTAAAATCCCGCTTCGGCTGGTACCCTTTGTTAAAATCCCGCTTCGGCTGGTATCTTTTGTTAAAATCCCGCTTCGGCTAGTATCCTTTGTTAAAATCCCGCTTCGGCTGGTATCTTTCAAAATCCCGCTTCGGCTGGTATCTTTCTAAAAACCCCTGCTTCGGCTGGTATCATTTGTTAAAATCCATCGTCGACTGGTATCATTTGTCAAGAGTCCCATTTGTTTGGTCTCTTCCCTCAGTAAGTTCACCTTCGATTGGTGTTTCTTTGTAAGAGCTTTCTTTGGTCTGTCTCTTTCTTACGTATCCGATACCGACCACGGATATGTATTTTTTATACCTATTTTATATGTCTTCTACCAACCCCAGACATATGTTCTTGTATCTTTGACATCTCTTTCGTACGTATCCGATACCGACACGGATATGTATCTTTGATATCTCTCTTGTACGTATCCGATACCGACCACGGATACGTATCTTTGATATCTCTCTTGTACGTATCCGATACCGACCACGGATATGTATCTTTGATATCTCTTTCGTACGTATCCGATACCGACCACAGATGTGTATCTTTGATATCTCTCTCGTACGTATCCGATACCGACCACGGATATGTATCTTTGATGTCTCTCTCGTACGTATCCGATACCGACCACGGATATGTATCTTTGATATCTCTTTTATGCGTATCCGATACCGACCACGGATATGTATCTTTTCTATATCTTTTGTACGTATCCGATACCGACCACGGATATGTATCTTTGATATCTCTTTTGTGCGTATCCGATACCGACCACGGATATGTATCTTTTCTATATCTTTTGTACGTATCTGATACCGACCAAGGATATGCATCTTTGATGTCTCTTTTGTGCGTATCCGATACCAACCACGGATATGTATCTTTTCTATATCTTTTGTGCGTATCCGATACCGACCACGGATATGTATCTTTGATATCTCTTTTGTGCGTATCCGATACCGACCACAGATATGTATCTTTTCTATATCTTTTGTGCGTATCCGATACCGACCACTGATATGTATCTTTTCTATCTCTTTCTTACGTATCCGATACCGACCACGGATATGTATCTTTTCTATCTCTTTCTTACGTGTCCGATACCGATCACGGATATGTATCTTTTCTATCTCTTTCTTACGTATCCGATACCAACCACAAATATGTATCTTTTCTATCTCTTTCTTATGTGTCCGATACCGATCACGGATATGTATCTTTTCTATCTCTTTCTTACGTGTCTGATACCGACCACGGATATGTATTTTTGATGTCTCTTTCTTGCGTATCCGCTACCAACCCCGGATATGTGTCTCTGATACTTTTTTTCGTATGTTTGCTACAGACTTCAGGCATATACCTTTTGATATCTTTCTTACAGGTGTTTGTTACTAAATCCCAACAGATGTTCCTTGATAACCAAGTTATTCTGTTGTGTGCCAAACCCTGGTTAAACATACATCTAACCTGATAACCTCTTTTACCTAGCAAAAAAATAAAAATACAGAAAGACCAAAAATAATGATACCTGACTGGCTTCGGAGCGCAAATTTTCGGGTTCTTTTAGTATTTAATCTTCTTTTACCTTGAAAGTTCGAATGGCTGACGCCAATCTCACCTTCAGGTTGAAGGCGATTAAATAGGGGCAGCTGTTGCACCGCAAAATTTTCCCTCCTAATTTCTTTTATTTTGGCTTAGACTTTTTGCATTCATCTGCATCTATTTCATTAGGTCACTAACATGGCATACATTTCATTCAATATAGCTCTAAGGTTCAAAGTTCAGTGGTTGTGCGATACTAGGGTTTCACAATGGTTAAGGCGCTCGTATCCAATAAAGGATGATTTCTTATTCAGGCAGCAAGTTATGGAATTAGGGTTTTGGTTCATTCTCATTTTTGGACTTTTTCTCCCTCAAGCAACAAGGCTATTATCTTCTGATAAACAACATGTTACAGGTTTTTCTTGTCAAGAACTCAAGGGCGTGACTTAGCATACATGGTCTTCGAATCAAGATGTTTCCTCATATAAGTGTGCCTATCATTTGATCAGGCTTAATGACTTTCACATGGCATTCATCCACTCTTTAATTAACCAATTCAGGTTTTGTTGAATCATGGTTCAGAGAATCATTGGTTGTGAAGCTCTGGCTTTCTTCTGGTTCGAGGTGTTTATCAAACTAGAATGATTCTTCTGGTACATTGAATTGTGAATTTAGGGTTTTGATTGATGGTTGTTGTGGATTTCTTCTTTATCAAGCTACGAGGTTATTCTCTTCATCTCAAAATCAAGTTGCAAGGTTTTATTTGTTAAGTCTGAAGATTTGGGTTTATTTCCCTATGTCTATTGGAAGATCATGCTTTGTTTCATTTCGAAGACATTTTGAACATTATTCTATCCATGTCTCAAGTCGTCACTGTGCACCTAATACAAGTGGGTTAAGGTTTTGCATTTTGTATGTGAGTTTGTTGATGTTCGTCAATAAGAAATGATTAGAGGATATCTTTCTATGCTTCAAATTTTATCTTCTTCAAGGATCCCACAAAGACATTTTTTTGACAAGACAAAGGACTTGTGGGGTTGAATTGAAAAGTATGAGGTCATGACATAAGGAATGGTACCATAGATTCACGTTGATCAAGGCCATTTTTGTTCTCATCATTGTTAGTTTTTGCTCACAATACAAGTCAAGGTGGATTAGTAGTTTTAAGGATATCTTGGTTATACTTCTTCCATATTTCCATCTTCGTTATCAATTCCTCAAAACATTATATTTGTGAGAATGAGCTTCAGTTTTGTTCAATAATTTGATTCAAGCAAAATTGGAAGATTTCAGCGAGACTTCGTGGATGAAAACCAAGTTAACTCTTGTGGACTAAATTATTCCATATTTCATGATTTAGAGGTTATTTGAAAATTATTGGATATACTTGACGTCTAAAGATATTTTAAGATATGAGAAAGCATATGTGAAATCGAAGGTTTGAATGAAAAACAAGTTTCATTACTATCATTGCATATTTGTTCGAAATTACCGCACTCTATTAAGAAACAAGTCATGACATTAGATCGACTGTTTTGTCTTCGGTAGGAAATAAACATGACAACAGTTATGAAATAATGAATCAATTGAAATCTTCTCGCATCCATAAGAGTATCAGAGGGGAAATATTATGTTTGTGGAGATTGCTTGATTCTCATTTTCGGCTGAATTCCTCCAAGTATGTCGAGCACGACAGTATGTTTGGTGTTTCTGTCGAAAGTATGATTACAAAGAATCAATTCTCCGGGGAGACGTTGTTTTATTGTTGGACATGTTGGAAGGATAACATTGTCCAAATGCTGGATTTCCTTTCAAATTTCAAAACTCTAGAGCCTCATCAGCAGCAAAGCAGTTACGTGAAGTTTGCATTGAATTATTTGGGTGTTCAGAAGCAGATTTATAATCAACAAGACACGTACCTTTTGCTCATCCCTGGTGCTAATTGGGTGATGAAATTGGGAGATAAATTTCTAATCAAGAATGGGAGGCCAATCTCCATTGATGTTCAACCTTTATTGTCTTATGCTCAGAGATATTGGAGTTCAGAATTATTATCTGTTAGCATGGATGTCTTGCGCACACTCAACAAGCTTTCAAATGGTAAAACCCTTTCTGAACTTTGGCAAATATAGTCTTTATTGCAAATCTTTGAGGTGTCAAAGTTTCTTCTCAATTCATATTGTTTTAGGCATGCCGAGGATAACTTGAGATTACTAGAGAAATATAGCAGAAAGTCTATTGACAATTTAGGATACTACATAATTCACCTTGACTGGAAGAAATCTCTAGAAAGAGAAATGGTTTATCACAGAATAACTAAATATTGGCAGGATATCATGAAAGAGCTCATCTATGAAAACACTAAACAAAAAGGTACATTGAAGAAATTATCATTGAATTCTCAAAGTTACATTGCAAGTTTAACTAATTCCATGCTACATTGCAATACAAGATGGCATTCAAAACATTTTCATTACAATTTTACCATCATGTTACAAAAGAAATTATAAAAATCCTACACAACACCAAAGCCTAATCTTCATATGTCTTCCACGAAATCCCACAGTTTAACCTTACCTCTTCACCATAATCTTCACACTGCTTCAACACAAATCCTACTGGCCACTTGGAACTCAACCTGTAAAATCGCATCAAAATAATCCACAATCAGAACCAAAACTAACAAGCCAATGACATAACCTTCAGCTTGCCAACTAACTATTCTTAACAGATTTTCTAACTTCTAACTTTCTCTCTAACAATTAAACTACTAACTGCAAACAGAATTTCAATACAACTAACTTGTAACCATAACTAACTACTAACAAACTCTCTAACTGCAATAACCGAAAAAAACAGAAAACAAACTGCCTAGAAAGTTGGAAAGTAGAAAATTAATTAAAACAGTTCAGCTCAACAGCTTAGGAACTAAAAACTTCTAACCAAAACTTTCTAACAGAATTCTAACATAACAGAATTTCCTAACAAACTCCTAACAAACTCCTAACAAACTCTAACTAACAAACTGTGATAACAGCTTATAACCAAAACTTCCAACTAATTCCCATAACCAGCTTCTAACAGAATTTCATAACAAACCTTTAACCAACTTTTTACACAGTCTAACAAACTTCCAGCAGAAAATTCTAACAGACTATAAAAAACAGAATTTACCTCTTTCATGGGTCATTCTTCAGCATTCTGGAAGAATCACCACAAAAAATCAGAATCATCTCTCTACTCTCTTTTCAACTGAATCATCATCACATACCCCTCCAATCTCTGAATTTCTCTTCATCTTCTCTCCATCTTCGACCCTCACTCCCCTACTCTTTCTTTCTTCATCATCATCCTCACATACCATTCACCAAACGACTCAGAGGCTGAATCTTCCAGTTCTGCATTTTTCTCGCTGGATCCTCATCACCAACACTCTAATCCTCAATCTTCTCTATAATATCCTCCTCAACACACACACACACACACACACACACACACACACATGTTCTTCAACACGTTCCATCGATCAGCTCTACATCTCGCACCTATTACCACATCAGCTTCTTCTTCCCGCGTCAATGCAACCAAAACATCGTCTTCAACAAAGGTGCAATAACAACCACATCTCAAACAATTCGAGTAAACCATGCGAATCTGTGAACGGTGAAAGGCTTAGGGAAGTTAACACATGAATCAGAAACAAGAAGAAGTGCGAATTGGAGAGAAGAATTCTTATGAAACACGTACCTGGTTTCGCTAATCTGCTCGTCATTCTTCGTCAAATCGAAAACGGAAGGTAAACTGAAACACTTTCTCCTTTTATCACGTGCACGGTGCTGTTTGCGTTATGTTACAGGTTCGATCGGAGATTGGGAGGAATATCGAAGAAAGACTGAGGATGATGAGACAGAAAGATCTTGTTACGGACAAGACGGATTGGCGACGATGATGATGATGGCGTAATCAACTACGAATCGATGAGATAGATGGAGGACCGATGAAGAAGGAAGGGGAAGCCGTCGCGGAGACAAGGAGGCGACACCGACTGGGATCCCCAATTGCCCATTTTCCTTTTTTTTCTTCTTTTTGAACTGGTTTATTCTATTGCGTTTTTTTATTATTATTATTTTTAATTCAACAAATAATATAATTATCATATGATGATTAACAACATTAAGAATGAGTTGAATGGACCGAACCTATTAATTCCTAGGCCCAATGAAAAAATTTGTGTACAAGAAAAGTGTTTATTGGACTTTTTCTTCATGGGCTTAATGCTTCAACCCGCTTCTACACCTCCCTAGATTCCAGTTCATACCTCCCTCTGATTCATTGTTTTTTTGGTTTTAATTTTGTTGTTTTAATTCTTCCACCAATTTTTTTTGGGGCTATTTTTCTATGATAAAAATAATACACAAAAATAGTAGCATATTATTTTTATAGAATTCTTTAGGACTTTTCTTTAGAATTTTATTAGAACTTTCTATTATTTTATGTTTAACAATCATTTTCATTATCATTTTTTTTAAAATCTTGTGATACTATATTGATGTAACTGTCGCAATATGGAATGCTTGGAGACTGATTCCTTAATCACTCGCACGGAGCAGCTTCTGTAGAGCTTTCTTATTGCTGGTGTGGTTTTGAAGAGGCAACGGACCTTCTCCGTTCGGTATCATCGCAATCTCATTTTTATTCCTCATTTTTCACACTTTATTGCGTTCTAGGACCACCTTTGTATGATAACGTTAGGTTTAGAAATAGGTTAGTCTCCCTGTGACTTTTTTTTTCCTTTCGCATATGCATTTAAAACAAAAACTTCTTTTTCTCGCAAACTTCAAAAATACTTAAAAAAATCACTGACGAGAATCATGTCTTCGTTAAGTATGAGAGATGATAAGCGGGTTTCTTCTCGACCTTATTATTCTCTTATTCTAAGCTTTGGTATGGTTCAAGTCTCAAAGACTTATTTCATGAATAAGTGGAGAAATGACTAAAGTCTCTCTCTTGAGATTAACTAGTTATTCTCTACAAGCAAAAACACCAACAAAACATAAAATTCTTTTTGCCTTCGGGCCTTCCTTTCAAACTCTTTTTCAAAGGAGCGTATTAATTCACTTCTGTGCTGACGCGTAAATCTCCAAAGGTCGAGTTGCGGCAGAAGGAGAAATTACTATCGTTAATTAAAAAAATACAAACAAACAAAAACGTATAAGCCAAACTACGAATGCTCTGATTCCTTAAAAGGGATACGTAGACATCGGGGTAGGGCCCGAATGAGCACAACCTTTATTTTCCCTACATTCTTTTCCCTTTGTCGTTTGCATGCATTCTCCCTTAGCAATAATAAACCGTAAGCATAGATTAAACGCACCCATAAGATAGACAACAAGAGTGGATACCGTAGAGTACTACGGGTGTGTGGGGTGCTAATACCTTCCCCTCGCGTAACAGACTCCCTTACCCTTATCTCTTGGTCGTTCGACCTTGATTTCACCCTTCTCAGGTTTACTCGACGTTTACCTTTCCCTACATGTGGGATAAAAGACGTTCGATGGCGACTTCATTGTTTGATGATTTTCAGCCGGTTGTTTCAATATTTTTTATTAGTACAATGAAACATAAACTTGTTTTTAATACTAAACATAAACTATAATTGTTTTAGTTTAAAAATATATAAGTGTTTATTTAAAAAAATAAATATAAAAATAAATATACTGATTTTATTAAAATAAATATTTTTCTAGAGTATATAAAATTTACTTTTTTAAAATCAATAAGTATATACTATATTTTTTTGTTGGTTTTTTAAAAAATATTTGAAAAAATTGTTATATATATATATATATATATATATATATATATATATATATATATATATATATATATATATATATATATATATATATATATATATATATATATATATATATATATATATATATATATATTATTTTTTAAAATATATAGCATAAACAAAGGCACACCAAAAAAAAAATATATAAATATAATAAATCTACTAGATAGATATATTATATAAATACAAAATTTAAAAAAAATTTATATAGTGTGTATCAAAATCTTGTTATAAATTTCAAAGAAAATCTTACTCCTCTAAATGAATCAATTGGTACATGAAACATAAAAAATAAAAATAAAAATTAGATTATAAATTAAATCTGAAAATAAAATAGATACATAACTGAATCATTTAGTAAAATTATTTGAAATTTATTATGTTGGAGTTAAGAAAATGTGATGATTTTGGTTGTTATTGAGAGGAAGAAGATAAAAAAAATGGAAGAGATGGAGTGAAAATGTTGCTTCTGGAAATGGAAATGGAAAAAGAGTGAAAATATATTAATAAGAACAAAATTGAGTGGGAGTGATGAAGTTGGTGCGTGATATTAATTAGACGTACATGATGCGATTAAGGGTGAAAATAGATTAGATTAGTTTTATAAGATTTGAGTATGGTCTACGATAAATTTAAAAGGTTTGAGTCTGACCAATGACCTACTATAGACCAATTTTTTGAGTCTGACCTAACCTTTTAAAATTTTGGTTTGACTTAAAAGTTTATTTAAAAGTCTGTTTTTCACTAAAATTTTCAATTAAATCATATTACTTAATAAGCCTTATTGGTCGGCCTATATATACATATATAGATCGTTTAAATTCTTTTTCTAATATATATATATATATATATATATATATATATATATATATATATATATATATATATATATATATATATATATATATATATATATATATATATATATATATATATATATATATATAGACCAACCTATTTAAACTATTTTAAATATCTATAAAAATATTGGCTGATTTATAAAGTTTCATAGACTTTTTTAATAGTCAAATCTGATCTATTTAATTAAATAGACTTTTAAAATAGCATAAGCTTAGCCTTTTTAGTAAATAAGTCTAGTCTAACCTGATATTAAATAGGCTAAGTCATATGTCCCAGTAGTCTAACCTAGCTTATTCTCATTTCTAGTTGCGACGGGGTTCCCCTCGCAAAAGTAATTGTCAGATTTGGCGTGAGACAGCCTCTCACAAAATGTATGTTTTAGAAAATTGAGACTGCACGCATAGTCTGCACACTACCACTCATAAAACTAATGTTATGGGGTATTCCTCACAAATTTAACTTTGTCATTTTGTTTGGGATTATTTCGATAAATATCTACTTTATTTAACTATTGAAATGATATTTTGATACCATAAATATTTCTCGTAATGTATTTTTTCAAGAATAATAAATTTTTCTCTTTTTTATTTGTAAGAGGTAACTCCACTATATTTAATTTTTAAAAAAAAATTGTGCGTTCTGAGAAATTTTACCCAAAAACAACATTGTTATTTTTTTGTTTTGGATTTTACCTCCCGACTATTCAAAGGTTTTTTTAGTGTACGTTAACTTGTTAGTTGTTAGTTAATGTGATCACATCAAATTCCAACTTGTACAACTGAACATAATAAATAACGTAAAACTTCCATGTAAAGCACGGTGTTTTAGTTATGGAAGATGCTAGCTTATGTTTTAAAAACCTACATTATAAATAATAAATAACATTAAAATTTTTTAATATTAGGTTCCTTAACTTATGTCTTTAAGATACAATATTTTCCTTTATTTATTTTGAAAGGTTGACAATGTCTTTATTTTTCACATAATCTTCCATGATCTGACAACGTTTAATTATTTAATATTATCCTCTTCACCAGAAATCAACATTAGTGAACCTATTTGAAGTATTCTGGGCCGGCCTAGAATACTATTAATCTGACAACGTTTTTTGATTTTTTATTTTTTGATTCAATCAAATCTCTCATATTGAATATGAGAATAGAATAATACTCTATATGTATAGAAAATTTGATTGTAATTAGGATAATTTAAATATCCGAATATAGAATATTCTAAAACAAAAAAAAGATAGAAATAAAATGAACGAATGACCTATTCGAAACTATATAAATAATCTTATATTGAATTCGAATTCTATTTTTTTATACAAATAGAATTCGAATTTTTATTTTGAATATATTGACTTGAATATAGAATATATATTTCATTCGTATTCTAATCTATTTCCTATTCATTCAAGTCATAAATAATATATCTATATCATGATCTCTTATTATAATACCTCAGGTGCTAATGAAACTATTTTAGTGAAATTTAACTGTCTCAATTCTCGGGCTATTGCGGAAAAAATTCGAGTTCCTTTTGGATTTCCTTCTTTATCAATGAGAACCGCCGCATTATCATCATACTTTATTATTATACCATTACGACGTTTTAGTTCTTTACAAGTACGTACAATTACAGCTCTGATGACTTGAGATCTTTTTAAAGATGAATTTGGCACTGCTTTTTTGATTACAGCAACAACAATGTCACCAATATAAGCATACCTTCGATTACTAGCTCCTATGATTCGAATACACATCAATTCGCGCGCTCCACTATTATCGACTACATTTAAATAGGTTTGAGGTTGAATCATATCCTTTTTTCTTATCTTTCAGTTTCAGTCAAAAAGTTGAAGTAAAAAAAATATTTTGTGTTAAAAAAAAAACGGAGAATTGCCTTTTTTCATACTAAAGATCTCTTT